CCTCTCTGACGAGAACCCATCTACCAAGACGAGGGTCTTCCTTTCCGACATCAGCCGACGGCCCCTCAGCCTCGTGGGCCCTGATGTGGATATGGGACAGATAGACATGGAAAATAAAGACACATGGGACGAAACTCCATAACCCATGTGCCAGGGCGTTCCCGATCTTCGCTTTAGACTCGTTTTTTTTTCTTTGGCTGTGTGATATACCCCGTCCCCATCGGCTATAGCCTCTTTCGCTCCTCCCATCGTCTTGCCGGCCGGTGGGCCGCCCCGGAAGAGAGAGAGAGGTCTCTCCTCCGGCTAGGCCGAATCTGTCATCCAGTTCGCCGGCCAATCCCTGATCCTTGCTCCCAGCCCTGGCAGCACAGCAGGGGGGGAGAACAAAAAGGATGCGGGGCAAGAGCCAGGGTGAGTGGGGGAGGAGTGCACATCCCTGTCGGATGATCACACCCCCTTTGTCTGTGTGTGTGTGTGTGGAAGTTCGTATCCAGCCAATAAGAGGACCGGGAGGCTGGGTGGAAAAAAAAGAGGATAACGACAAATCTCTCCCTTGATGGTGTGTGGGCTTCAAGGTCCATCCATGCCTGGGGCAATCAAAAAGAGCGAGTCACCCAATTGCGGGATGGACCGAGCCTATTACCTATCTCTCGTGGATGTTTTTTTTTTATGTTCTCGGGATCCCTTGCCCATCTCCCTATAGTTTCGTTTGATATCGATGCCTTACTTTCGCTTGCCGTTTGACAGGGTGGTTGCCGCCCGTTCGATGGTGTGGACGATATGAACCAGGGAAAAAAAAAACATTGATGGGAGAAGCCGCGCCGCCTGGCGGTACAACAAGCGCTAGCGAGACCGGTCAGTCCCAGAGCCGTCGCCAACCCCTGGACACGACACTAACGGGCGGGCGAGCGTGTGGGAAAAGAAAGAAAAAAAGAAAAAAAAGCAAATAAACAAGTGGTAATATGATGTGTAATAATCAACGACGGAGGAACACAAATAGACTAGGCACAAATGTGATCGATGCCGCCGCCGATCTGCTCACAGGCGGCACACACACATACACTCTCTGCCTCTTTCCATTTCACGGGCGTCCGCTCGGTGGGCTAGTGCGAAACGGAGTGTAAGCCCCCCCCTCCCTGGAGGCTGGGCTTTCACGAAGTGGCTATCGCGAGATGTGGGGAACGGACATGGTGGTGTGTGTGTGTGTGTGTGGGTGGGTGGTGGTCGAGAGATCACACTTGCCCTGCATGTGTTTCTGTATCCGTCCACGACTTTGGTCTAGTGGCGTAGGTGGTCTGCGAACCGGCGGCGGCGGCGGCCTCCTTCGCTGTCCGGACAAGGTGTGCCATCCGACCGGCGGCCTGATTGGCTCGACGGCTATCGACTAGCTCGCCGCCCGCAAGCATTTCACTTGGCTTTTTTTTTTCTTTCTTTCTTTTTTTGTGTGCCGTTTGCCTGCCGCCCACCACCACCACCACTCACCTACCCCCTTGTCCAGCAAATCCGAACCCTCGATGGGAAACGGCGGTGGTCCGGGCGGCAAGGCGACGGAGGACCCCCTGGCTTCATCGAGTGTCAACCCATGCCAACCACATCCGGCGCCAAAGAGAACAACGAACAGGGAGTGTGTTTTTGAGCGGGTTTTGCAGGTCCGAGTGCAGAAGCCAAGGGGGGGCGATCGACGAATGCCTTTTGAGCTCATGGGGGAGAAAATAGCGGGTTTCCAATCCATGGCATCCGAAACCCAAGTCACACGCGCGAGCAGAAAGTGGATGGAAGAAAGAAGAAGAAAAAAAAAAACACTCAGCCGCCGGAATGGAAACGATTGGCCCATCTCGCACCTAGCCCAATCGCGGCTCCGGGCCTGCCTCGATGGGGAGGATTACGCAACGACAAAGAATGGAACGACGGACTGACTGACAGCGTCTCCACACTCCTAGGACATCACCAGGGTAGTTGGCGTCGAGTTTTTGGCCGGGGTCACAAAACGACGACGACGACAACGACGGTGATAACGGCCGGAAGAGAAGCGAGCGAGGGCTGAGCGAGACAGAGGCCTGCAAAGCTGCAAAGAAAGAGACGTGACTCCACTTTTCTGCTCCCATGGACATCAATGATCCCATCCAAAAGCGAGAAACGCTCCACAATCAAACGGACAGTCCCGAGCTCAGGCTTGTCTGGGGATGGTCCCACCCGGAGGTTCCGCCTCATTCCTGATTCTGCCCATGTTCATTAATTTATCTGTTATGGACTTGCTGGTGACCAGGGTGGTATTTGTGTGAGAGCGGTAGAGAAGAGGAAGGAGGGCAAGAGGAATCAAAATACAAACCAACCAGACGCCTTGGACGGTCGTTGCTGCAGCAAGCAACCACATACACACACACACGCGCGCGCGCGCCCTTCATGCAACCAGGCTTTTCCCTTGCCCTACCTTATCTTACCTTACCTTACCTTACCTTTCGTTTCCTCTGGCGATATGGTACGCTCGGAGGAGTTCGCCGGGTTGATTCCTATCGCCCGCCTCCTTGGCCGCCCCTTGCCTCCCCCCTCCCCTGCATCGCAGATGAGGCGTCGGGAGGGCAGCTTCCCCTCTCCTCCTGCTCCTTGGCCTTTCAGATGGCGACTTGGTGTTAGGCCCGGCCGGATAAGGGTCCACCCTCCCCATCTCCTCTCCCCCCCCTTTGGCAGACGTGACGGGTAGACACATAATGCCGTGATGAGTTGGTCGACCGGTGTCCCAACGGAAAGAGGACGGTGGTTCGACCAACCGTCGTGGATCGGGGCGTTTTTTTTACATAAGCTCCACAACGTTGATAAATTAGCGGGAAGGGCGATCGGAGGCAGGGCACGAGCAATGGGCTGCCAGGTGGACGAGATGCCGTAATGGTAAGGGGAGGAGGCGAAAAAAGAAAAAAAAACCGACGCTAGCGTCGGTGGCCAGCCATTCACTTGTTCCAGTAGTGCCAGTATAACCAGATATGCGGAGGATGAGGCGAGGACGGAAGCAAAATTCTGCAAGTCGCATGCTGTATTGTTTCAGCAGGCCCTTCTTCAAGACCAGCCGATGCCAGTTCCGGCATGGAAGCGATATTGACACGATAGCCCCGGCTGGACCTCCACACCTCCCTTGGACAGAAATCGTTTCGCCACTACAACCCAAGGCTGGCTGTCACTATCGAAACGACACCGTATGCGGCCGAGAGATAAGGCTTTTTGCCAGAGAGGCCGCCCCGTCGAGACGAGGTTTAGACAGCAACCACCCGGCGTGTGTAGATAGACGCACAATAGAGGAGACAAGACGGAGATGGGGCCGGCGGCAGCGACCTGCAACAGATTTTCGCTTCTGCAGTTGGGAGGGGCAGCAGCATCACGGGGAGAACCTCCGTGTGCCGTTGGATTTCTCCACCCCCACGGGCATGGGAAACGACCAGACCAGACGAGACGATATTGACAAAGGTCCACCCACTTTCGATCCGCGGGGTCCAAGAAGCCGAGACAGGAGCATTTGAGGTTTTCACCTGCCGTCCACGTTCTTGCGTGTGCGCGTGCGGTAGGGTGGGTTGGGGGGACGACGTAACGCTGTCGACCAAGTTATCCTGTTTCTTTTCTTCTCGATGTTCTTCCTGCATCCCCCACCCTTTCTCTCTCATCCCCGGGAATTAGCACGAGGAGGGTGACAATTTCCGCCCCACGGCACTCAATCATCTTTGTGGGAATGGGCCTATCGCATTCCGTGAGCACCGAGCTTTTCGTCACAGCGCCCAAAGCCGGCGTGAGCCCAGTCACCCAGATTGGGGGAGTGACCCGAGGTGGGAACATGAGAGAGAGAGAGGAGAGAGAAAAGAAAAAAAAAAAAAGGGCCCGCCCGGACTGGGGGCAGCATCCCGAGAGGACTGCAAAGGGACGGCCGGACCTGCCAGGTGGGTGGGACTCTTCTGCAGGACGCATCTTTCAGGTTCAGGGCCGGGGGGAGGAAGAAGAGAGAGAGTGAGAGAAAGAAAGCACTCAGGCCAACCAGCCCCGCTGCCTCGACGCAGCCCTCCAATCCTTTTCCCCAGCTTCTGTGTGATTTCGCCGCCACGACCGGTCGGGGGAGGAAGAGGAGGTAAAGAAACAGACCAGGTGTCAGATCTTCAGGACGCTACTGCGGGAAGATGTGCTGTGAGAGGGAGGGAGGAAGTTGGTTGCAGACCGGGGGAGGCGGCGACGGGGCGATCACAGGAGGATGCCCGGGCAGCAGGAAAAAAACTTGTGGAGCACCTGTATTCATCTTCAGGACCGGCCGGCATGCCGCGTGATGGCCTCCTCAGCTCTCGGCTGGTTATTGGCTGCATCATGTGCCAAAACGTGTGAGAGGAGCAAGAGAGAGAAACAAACTTGGACGATAACGGGGTGTGGGTGGAGGAGGGGGGGGGAGGGGACGCGCATGCGAAGGAGGCGTATGTGCGAGTGTGAGTGAATGAGGTGGTGTGTGTGGGTGGGCGGAGTCGGTGTTTTCCTCCTGTTGGGTCAAGCGCAAGCTAGCTCTGTAGCAAGCAAGTAGTAATAGTACCCGGAGGACTTGCTCCTCCGGGGCCATGATGACGGCACAATCAGCAGCAGCCGCCTGCTTTTCCTGCTGCTTCGCAGCTGGGCCGGTGGGTAGGCAATGCCAAGCAAAGGCGACGCGCCGCCCTCCTCCGCTTTCTCGCAGCAGCCCACCACCAAAACCCCCAAAGGGCCCGTCGCACGGCGTGCTGCATCCGGCTAGGTTATATGCTGGGCGCGTCTTGGGAGGGGAGTGGAAGACTGGATAGGAGGGTGATGAGGAGGGCATGGAAGAGGAGAATGAAGAAGAAAAAAAGGATCAAACAGATACCTGTGGGTAGATCCAAGCCTGTTCTGCGCGTCGAGGTGAAAACAGCTTAGCGCCAGCACACGGACCCCAGAATGTGGTCCTCTTTTTCTTTTTCGGTCTTGGTCTGGTCCGGTGGTGGGATTACGATGGGAGGATTCACATTTTGTCTAGGGTGTGCGTAGGCTTCTTTCTGGGCAGGCAGGCAGGCGGGCAGGCAGTCACAACACGGTGGCGATGGAGGGGGGTTGGGGCAGAGAAATTGAAACAGACAGAAACAGACAGAAGCAGAAGAGGGTGCCGCCAGCCAGCGTGGTTCGCAAAGCAGGCAGCAGATGATGGCCCGACAACAGTGCGCCTCTTTGAGCACTTTCCCGGCCCGGATGGTGTGCGTGCGGGGGGAAGAGGAGGAGTGAGGAAGCTGTGAGTGAGCTGCAGGCTTCATCTCGATCCCAATCTCGCTCCTGCACGTCGCAGAAAGCAGCAGCGTCAGGCAGACAGGCAGGCAGGCCGGTAGATAGAGGCAAGTTGGTAGTAGTCTCTCCCACAATATTTTTTGTATAACAAACGTATCAATCACAACTCGTCCACGGCAGACAAACACACAAGAGCCGCTACGGTGGTAGCATTTGCGGGCATCGGCAGTGGGCGACGATCCGCGAGTTTAATCGGCGCTGGACAAATGAGAGAGGCTGCTCGACGGACCGAGTCCAAGGAGGAGCCTTGTTCGGAAGGGGGATGGCTGTCGGGGCGTGCCAGGATTCGCCAGGTACCGGTCCGGGGTCTGGAAAACTCTGCTGACTTCTCTCGGGAGAAACAGCGCGGGCAGGATGGGGAGCTGGAGCTGGAGGGGTCGTCATTTCCCCAGACTCTGCTTGGGTCCAGTGACTCCCATCGCTCGTGTTGCCATACCTTGACGAGCAAACGGCGGCAATTGACGCCAGATCTTTATTTTTCTTGTTGGTTATTAGCTCGCCAAAAGGGTGCCTGCTGTGACTGATGCTCTATGCAAGGCAGCATCGCTGATCTCGGCGGAATGCCAGCCTGTCCTGTCCTGTCCTATCCTGTCCGTAGCTGCAACTGCCAAATTGACCCGGCGCCTGCAAACAGTCGCTCCCCCTCTTTTTTGCCAATGCCTGAATTCTGCACTTATGTCTTGGAAACCCCCTCACAGGGTGCCCAATCAGCGGCTCTTTTTTTCCCTTGATGAGAGGAGGCCGTTTGGAGCGAGTGGCAGATGGATGATGAGCCGGCAGCCGAATACGGGACCATGATACACTGGATGCCTCACTCAACCCACCACTCGTCACCCGCGCGCCTTGTGGTCATGCAAGGGAGAGGCAGAGAGGCCCACCCTGGCCGGGTGTGGTCATGCCCTTTCAAAACAAAACAAGCCTGAGAAAAGAAGATTTGAACGAAAAAAATAAATAAATGGCCGGCCGCCGGAGGGTGTCCGTAAGAAAATTGCCGGGACGGGATCTAGGGCGAGGCCCGAGCCCGCCGCCATTGGAGCCAACACGCGTTGAGGGCTCGGCGAGCAAAGGAGACAGAGCGAAGAAGAAAAAAAGAAGAAAGAAAACGGGACTAGACGTGTGTCCGTGGATACCTACGTAGTTCCGCACGCAAAGGCCCCCGGGTACCTGGCAGCGACAAGGTCCCAGGACACCAAATGCCTCGAGCAATCGTCGATTCAAGCGGACTCGGGAAGACTCTGTAGACTTGCAGGCTCGGCTCTGCGTGTCGACAGTTTCAGCAGGTCCCGACAGCTGTGTGGTATCTACAGCGATCAATCTCGTCTCCTCAAGGGATTCATTTCTCTTAGCATCGCCGGCGGGCCAATCAGGGCGAGGCCGAGAAAGACAGGGCCGAGAGAAACAGGGCCGTGGATGTGTGTGAATGTGGTGCGGGTGTGTTAGTTGCAGCTTGTCACGCTTGTGTGTGAGTGTGAGTGTGAGCATTGAGAGGTCAATGGAACCCGAGAGGGGGGAGAGAGCCCATATTCCATATTGGGCTGCAGGAGGCAATTGATTAATCCTGCACGCATGCAGGCTCTCCTGTACCTGTGGTTGGTCTCTCGCCTGCCCGTCCCCTGGCCACCTGCTCAAGAGTGTCCTGATCAAAAGTGAGAGAGGGTGTGTGGCTGTTGCCCTGCTTGGCCGTCGCCCTGCTTGGCTGGTGCTGGGCTGGGCTGGCATTTGTGGCCGCATCGCCCGTCGAGACGAAGGTCGGATGGGCGAATGAGCGGCCGGCCTGGTCCTCACACCCGCTGCATGGACCCCCCTCCTCCTCCCGCCATCCATTCGCGCAATGGTATGATTTTCCTGATTGAAAGGACGTTGTACTGCATTCTGTAACCTTCCTCGAGCACGTCGTCGACGGACTAGCTTGCGCGCGCGTTTCCGCGGCCTTGTCGACTGCCCATTCTCCCCGTCCATCAAACCATGCCGACTCATCGACCCCCCCTACGAACCTGCAGACTGAATCACGGGCCAAAGGAAGAGAGGCGGGCGGGACGGCCGCCAGATAATTACAGCAGGACCGGACGATGGAGGGAGGACATCTCGCCCGCCTGGGAGACGACTCGGTTGCGACCGTCGCATTGGCTGGGCGGACCAGAATACGTCAACGTCCCCCCCCACGCTTTCCCAATCTTCAATCTTGCCAGTCGACAGAGAGAGCCCGAGATGCCGACCCACCCTCCTCACCTCTCCGGCTGCATGTCTAGGGGGGCCGACATGTGCTGGTGCTGTAGATGGAATTGCCCTATAGCACGTCCCATAGCCGTCGCAGCAGCGACAAGGTATCGCTCTCTCTCCTCCCTGGAGCGATAAGCTGCCGCCGGGACTTTCAAAGGCTTTAGCCAGGTCCCCACCGGCCTGCCTAACCGAGAGACGGGCTTGGAGATGCATCTGTTTGCATATCCAACAAGAGAAACGATTCCATAATGTCCATCTCGCGTAGATTTGGCGGCGGGCCATCCATGACATGTTTTGGTGCCGATTGCCGCCCGCGACTTCTCGTCATCGACTTACAGACTCGCACGGCAGGAAACGCCGCCCTCTGGGTGGGTGGCCTCATGGCCTTGTCCGCCACGGCGGGCGGAGAATCTCGGACGGTGCCAGAGTGCACATCACATGATTCCTGCAAAAGACATGCTGTGCTCGCCGAGTCCTCAGGCGACCACGGCCGAGTGAGACCACGCATGACCCGCAAGAGGAGAGAGGGAAGAGGAAAAAGGAAAAGGGGGGGGGACAGAAAAACTCCCAATCACGCTAAACTGGATCCCTCTTAGCGCATTGCCCCAGCCTGAGACCAGAATTGATCAAGACAACACGCCCAGGTGATGCAAGCGGAGAGGGGTGGGTGGTGCTGTGCGGAGCCCGCTCCCCTGTGAGGGGTGAGTCCTCCAGAGAGGAGTGCCCACCCCAGAGGGCCTCTGCCTCTCAAGGCCGTGTCCGAGAGGGCCAACAAGGGAACGGTAGTGAATTGCTGTTGATCAGGGATAGCAACCTCAGGACAAACCTCCAGCACAGTGGCAGTCGCCGCCTTATGCTCTCGTCCTCTTTTTTTCCTTTTATTTTATTCCCTTGAAAATAGGGTTTATCCCTTCAGGATGGGAGGGACCCCTGGTCGGGGTCCTGCATGGCCGCAGTGCTCTCGCTGTCCATTAGCCATCTCGCTCGCACCACCCTCTCCGTCCGTATGGCGTGCGATTGCACACGAACCTCGCAGCTTGAAGGCGACCAGGGCCTAGAGATAAAACCTCATTTTCAGGCTAAACCATAAGCGGTTACTCCCCTTTTGGCCCATCCGGACCCATCCATCCATCCTCTCCCACCCCTGCGCCTCCGCGCAAGCTGGGACCCACTGATGGCTCACAGGGAAAGAAGGCCGGAACGGGAACGAAACGATTAGGGCGAGAAAAGCGGGGACGTGCTAGGAAATGGATAGGGGCGAGAAAAAAAAAACTAGGACGTGGCTAAAAAGATTGGACGGGAACGAGAATAAAAAGCTGGGACGCGGTCGAGAAGATTGGACGGGAACGAAAAAAGAAAAGCTAGGACGTGGCCGAAAAAATTGACGGGGGCGAAAAGAAAAAGCTGGGACGCGGCCGAAAAGATTGGATGGGAACGAAAAGAAAGAGCTGGGACGTGGCCGAGAAAATTGGACGGGGACGAAAAGAAAAAGCTAGGACGCGACCGAAAAAATTGGATGGGAACGAAAAGAAAGAGCTGGGACGTGGCCGAGAAAATTGGAAGGGAACGAAAAGAAAAAGCTAGGACGTGGCCGAGAAAATTGGACGGGGGCGAAAAAAGCCTAGGCCAAAACCCCTTGTCCGAAAAGCGGGGCTGACGCGCTGTCGGCTTCGGGATTTCTCGAGGAAGTCCGCGTGGCAGGCTTTTGGAACGACTACCTAATTTGGTTTAACTGCTACGCTATACGTTAACCTGGAAAATGGCTTTGCGGCGAAGATAACGCCCGAAAACGAGTGTCCGTATAAGTTTCCTCGGCTAGCTTTCCGAATAGCATAACGCGGGGGTGTGGGGAACAAGGCAACGGCGGAGTGGATGTTAAAGGTGCGGCCGGCAGCCATATAATTTCACACCTCCAACCAATATCCGCTATTGCCCGATTTGCTGCTAATACGTAGTTATTAAAACAACGACCTCTTTGGGGGAACCTGCTTTAACGCCGTACCTAGCACGGCTGTCCGCACAGGCTGGCTTAGTTGCTATTAGGCAAAAACACCGCCTTTTGTTAACGGCTCCGCGTGCTTGAGCCTTACAACCGGCGTAATGGCGCGCGGGTCGAGTTCGTCGTCCCGACCTGGATTACAACGCCGCAAAGATATATATAGCTTAAACAGGTTCTGCAGCAGGGCCTATCTGGAAGTGAGCTTATAGTGCTGTGTCGAAAGATGCTGTGTTTATGGCTCGAGTATTATGAGTGGTATGTCGTCAACAACGATTACCAGCCCTTAGAGTGGTACCCGGCGTCGCGATCAAAGTACTGGTCGTAGCTGCTAGTGTTGACGTCGGTGTCCTTCTTCATGACCACCCTCTCCGGGTACTGCCTAAGGTTGACCACATCGTGCGAGGTGTGGCGGCGTTTAAGGACTGCGTTGACCGTCGACGACCTCTGCGACCGCTCCCAAACGAGGTGCCGTCGGAGGCTCTCGGTCAACTCGGTGGAAATCATATTACGCCTCGTCGTCCTGGGGGAGAGCGCTGCTTGGTAATGGCTGTTGTGGGCCGAAGTCAGGATGGGCTGCGCCGCCGACCTCGGGATCTCGTTGATGGGCTTGAGGTGTGCGGCCCAGCTGCCCCTCATCATCAGGGGGCTGTCGTCCGAATCGGTTGGCGACGCCACGAAGGAAGGCCCCTGGCGCTGTGGCTGGTCCTGGTGGATGGCCGACGTCGACTGCGAGGCGCCGTTGCCCAGCTTCACCTGGCGGTCGTTGCGTTCCAGCATCAGAGTGATAAGCGACCGCCTCGAAGTTAGGTTCACCTTGGAGTCGACACGCTGGAAGAAGGTCTTTTCGTCGATGCTCGACTTGCCACTCTCCTCGTTCGAGTCCTCCCAGTCATCGTCGTCAATCGCGCTCTCGTCAACGTTGTAGGACTCAGTCTTCTCACGGTCTGCTCTTTTACGATGCATGGTTGGCGTTGTATCTTCGACCAGGAAACTTGAGCTCGAATTGGGTATTACGACTGGCGTTTGCGATATACAAATACCAACACTGAGCAGGAATCCCGACTCCATTACAAAACGGCATACGGGTAAGGTGGAAAGGCAGCGGATTGTGCACTAGGGTGGTGATAAATGGCACCCC